GGGAATATATGTAAACACAGAATTCATGAAGAAGCCTGGCATAAACATGGAACAGTAAGAAATCAAGTGTACCTGAACAAGAGGATGCATGGGAGAAGGGGCAGGAGATAAAGCTGGAAAGGTAGGTAAGAAAACATATGCTTCCTGCAATCTGGTTGAGAAATCTGGACTTGATCCTAAGGAATAGAATTAAAGAAATTAAAGTGAAGGTTGTTTCAAGCTTTGATGATAAAGACCTAAACTATATTAGTAGCTGCGTTGAAAAATATAGAAGACAGATTGATTCCAGAAACATTTCAGAAATTGATTCAATAAGAATTAGAGGCCAAATGAATGTAAGGAATATGCAGTAAGGAAGAAAAAGGAGTTGAGTATGACTCCATGGTTTTTAGTGTGAGCCATTTCAGTATAAGGACAAAATAACCCAAAATAAGGAATACCGATAAAGGAACAGAGTGGTGGTTTTGTTTTCTTGCCTCCATGTTTTTGAGATGAAAATAATGCATTCAATTATACAGCAAAAATCACTCTTTCAGTACTATGAATTTGACAAAATGCACAGGCATATAACCAACACAGTAAGATACAGAACAGCTTCATAACTCCCCCCAAAACTTCCTCACGCTGCTCCTATTAGTCCTTCTCCCACTCTTAAAACCTGACAACCACTGATTTGTTTTCTACTTCCATAGATCTGCCTTTTCCTGAATTCCACATACATGAAATAATAACAGTATGTAGTCTTAATTGGCTTCTTTCATTTAGCATAGTGCATCTATAAGTCATCCATATTGTTGGCATGTAACAATAGATTATTCCTCCTTATCGCTGAGTAATATTCTATTGTACAGATATACCACAGTTTATCCATTCATTTACTGAAGGACATTTAGGTTGTTTCTAGTTTAGGGCAGTTACGAATAAATCTGTTATAAACATTCATGTACAGGTTTTTGTGTAAAAGTAAGTTTTCATTTCTCTCGGGTAAATACCTAGGAGTAGGATTGATGAATAATACGACAAGCGTATGCTTCGCATTTTATAAGAAACGGCCAAACTACAAAGTAACTATAACATTTTGCATTCTCATTAGCAACATATAAGAGTTCCTGTTACTCTGTATCCTGGCTATACACTTGGTATTGTTAGAATTTTGTTATTGTTAATTGTAGCCATTCTAATGGTATACAGTGACTTTTAATTTTAAATGTATTAAATTTACAGTACATAGGTCACAAACAGAAAGTTTTTATTTATGGATGGTTAAAAATGAGTCAAAGCTCAGGAAAAGAGTGCTGAATGATAATCCAAGAGCATTAGAGATATAAAAGAAAGATGCCCAAAGGAGAAATCTTAAGGATATTCACATTTCAGTGGAAAATGGAAAGAACAAAGGAAACCAAAAATAAACAGGAGGATCAGAAGAAAATAAGAGTCATGAAAAAGAAGAGAATTCAAAAGATAAAGGAGTATTTCAGTTGTAGTAGCACTAAAAACAGGTCACCCAATTCGTTCATTCATTGATTTATCCAGCAAGTTTAAGTGCCTACAATAAGCCAAGTACCATAGGAAGGAAGCAATAGATTTGATAATTAGGTCACTGGTAAAGACATTGAGAGAAATTTCATTAGTGGTGGAGCTAAAGGGCGAATGGAATGGGCTGAGGACTTCACAAGGATTTAAAACTTTGTGCTTCTGAACTTTTATTATTAACTTTCTTAATAATAACAATGTTTAGCATTATTCTCTACTTCATATACAAAAATTCTGTCACATTAATAAAAGCTTAGGCTCTTGGAAGGGAAAAACAGAGATCAGAGTTCATGACAGAGCAAACTGGGCTTCAACATTAGCTGCTCAATTATGTTCAACAGTATAAAATATCTTAGCAAAATGAAATGTTTGCAGCAATAAACCTCTTTAATATACTTACCACCTATACATTAGGCATCTTCTAGGCCACTGGCCTCTAAACTTTTTGATCACATATCCTATGTACACAAAATACATTTGGGAATTCCATGTACACAAAATACATTTGGGAATTCATCCTCAACATGTTTATTTATATACATGTATTACTAGCTTAATAAACTATCCCATTATAAATTCACAGATAGAAAAGTTTTTTAAAAAACAGAGTAGTTTTAAAAGGTAAACAAACAGAAGTTCTAATATTTTCTCCCCACATCTGATTGAATCACCTTGTGCCTCCCAACACACACAGCAGACACTACTCCTTAATACCATCAGTCTAGGCAAAGCTTTCAATATAAATGTTAACCAAATAAAATCTAGCCCCAACAATTCATACATCATTTGTTCCTTTTTCTTCTGTAGTACGAACTTCCTGTCTCTTATTTAACATCTGCATCCTCACTGCAGTTGCTTCAAAGGGGATGTAAAGTTCAAGGAAAATGATCTTTAAAGGGGCCTCACCCAAGGGGATTGTTTCTTTCTCTGGATTATAGCTTTAAAAACTACTGTACTTCAAAGGCTGCTGTCTCATACAAGTTATTTTAAATATAAGAAATGCTATTCAAACACTGTAAAGTTGCCAGAGGAATTTTTTTTCAGTCATAAGCTTATTTTTTCACTCTCCTCTTTGAAAAACTGCTGACGTTGGGCAAACAACTGGAATCCGAACTTTTTCTAATATATATTAACGGAATTTCTTGTCTCCATAAAGCCTCCATTTCCAGGGGCTAGGGTGGCTGTTAGTAAAATTACAAGATCAGTACAAAGGGGAAAGTGCACCAACCAGAAGATCTAAAGGACAGAGCCGTTTGTTTACCAAGAGGGAAAGTCATTTTCTTACAAAATATAAATCACTGAATGTTGTAATTAAGAGACCTCAAATCAGAAGGCTTTTTTTTTTAAAAGGTGTTCAAAAAGCCGAAGAGTTAATGCCCATGTCATATTCTTTTGAAGTGTCACTATCCCGTTTAACAGCTTTCAACTCCTTTCATCTCTTATGCATTATCGAGGAGACACGATTAAATTTTCATCTTGGAAGTGAGGTGGCCGACTATTAGAAGCATCTAAGCCACGCTCGCCCGCGTCCAGGACTGAGCCCTTCCCGGCACCTGCATCCAGGTGGAGGGCAGCTCGTGGAGGTAGAGGGTGCGACCTAACATGTGTAGGCCCCTGGGACCGAACCTACCTTATTCTGGACACGGTGAAACTTCTAATAAGCTGAGCCGCGGGACAGATTGCTGAGCCCCAGAAGTGACAGGCAACGTTTGACAAGACCATGTACCAAAAAATGGAACTACCGAGAAACAGTGGAGCAGAGCAGCGATAGGATGAGATCCTCTGCCTGAAGCTCCTTCAGAGGACCAGCCCGGCTCTCGGAGAGGCTCAGTGCTCCCCGCGACTTCGCCTCCTCAAGAGAAAGGTCCGGCTGCCACGCCCCCGCCACCACTCTCTCCTTCTGGGGAAGCTGAGAAAATCAGGGCTTGGCCTGGTTCTGAACCCTTTGTAGGGGAAGGGGTAGATCAAAACAGTGGCCTCAGGAACTAGTAGCTCCCAAAGGGACCAAACCCGAGGCTCACCCAACCTGTCCAGTGTCACTCCTACTTACCTATTAATGTGGCACTATCCGGCGCTCTGACTTTCCAGTCCCCAGCTGCGGCGTCTGCTGCGGTAACAGCGGGGTCACCACTCCGCCCCTAGCGATGAGTCTGAAGACCAGGCTCGCAACTCAAGATGGCGGCCTCCTGCGCCCCTCATCCGAGACCCCAAGGCTCGCCTCCCAGAAGCCCTTGCACGCGGCGGCGGCGGCGGCGGAGGCTGCGGCACTGACCAGCAGAGGGGGCGGAGAGAAGCGGAAGCCCCAGCGACACCCACCCATTGGGGAGCCGGCTCCTGCCCGGACTCCGGGATTTTAACCCGGAGCGGTTGCCGTTGCAGGAGTGTGTCCTACTGCCCTAGTCCTCCGTGCCAGCTCTCAGTCTTTCATTCACTCATTCGTTGGTTTGCTCACCCATCCATCCATCCACCCATTCATTTGTTCATTTTACAACGTGGTATATTGATGGAGGGCATAATCTGTGCCAGGCATTGTTTGATATTGGAGGTACAACAGTGTACACAACGGATAAAAATCTTAACCTCGGGCTTCCCTGGTGGTGCAGTGGTTGAGAGTCTGCCTGCCGATGCAGGGGACACGGGTTCGTGCCTTGGCCCGGGAGGATCCCACATGCCGCGGAGCGGCTGGGCTCGTGAGCCATAGCCACTGAGCCTGCGCGTCCGGAGGCTGTGCTCCGCAAAAAAAAAAAATCTTAACCTCATGGAGCTTCATTTGTTTCAAGCGTTTCAGTTATCTATTTATTAAAATTTTTGTATTCTGTAACATCTGTGGATTTTTGACAAAAAAGTAGTCACTGATATATGAAATAAATAACTCCAGAGAAAGTACTCTAAATTATTATAACACATATATAGACTTGTAATCCACCCTGGGGTTGAACAAGCAGTATTGAAAACAGACTGTTTTCTACATGTAGTGTTAGGCACAGAATATGCAAGATAAATAACACGATTCCTTCCCTGAAGAAACTCCTGTTTTCCATCTCTTGTTCTTTTTGTTCTCTTTTCTGAGAAATTTTTTGGGCTATACTACAGCTCTCCATTGATGTCTTTTTTAAAATTCTGCTATTGTATTTTTTAATTCCCAAGAGCTGTTTCATATTTTTAATTCAGGGATCAAGATAGCGTTATCTTGTAACCTTGAGGCAAGAACGTGTCTTTGTCATCCTCCATAGCTCTGAGTTTGGCGCGCTGTAGCATTATAAGCCCTTTATTGATAACGTAATAGAGTGCTACTCAGTCAGGCCCTGGATAGTGGGTATTGTGGATTCGTGTAATGCCCTGGGACTTGCCCTCTCCTCGTAAATTAGGCGTTGGAACCTTGTCGGGAAGATGCAAAAAGACTACGACTCCCAGAATGCACTACAACCCAGATTGGCGTGAAGCGGTGCATGCTGGGAGTCCTTCCCTTCCGGGGAATAGAAAAAGAGCTTTTTTATACGTTCCTGGAGGCTGAAGCTTTTCGGAGTCCCTGGTTCTCTTCTCGGTTCACCGTGAGTCTCTGGGTAGAAAGAGGGCCTGCCTCAGTCTTTTAGGCCGGGAAAGGTAATCGACGCCGCGCACGAACTCCTCTGCCCGCAAGCCAGACGGCGTCAGCCGCGGGATCCGAAGAGGAAGCCAAGCACAGGGCAGTGTGGCCGGCCTGTGGCCGGCTGTCCAGGCCAGTAGGAAGTGACCGTCCAGCCAAGGTTCCCTGGGCCCAACGCTTTGACCCAGTTAGTATCGGGGCTGGTTTCCTGTCCTGGCCCGGGATGCTGGCATGGACCCTTGGGTAGGCTCCGGCACCTCTCGCCGGCCTCCGTACTTCTCTCATCCCCTTGTTGTGATCTAAGTGTTAGGGAGTTGAAGCGCATCATTGTGCGTCCAGCTGTGTCCCAGCCCGGGGAACGTAGAAACTTCTCTGCGTGTGACGTTCTTCCCACTGGGGGTTTGGGAGAATTTTCATCTAAAATCAGAGACTATTTTCACTTACCTGAAGGGAAATGGAAAAAAGGACAAAGTTGGGAGTTCTTAGAAAGCTACATTTATTTAAATGATGGGAATAATTTTCTTATTTTTCATTTCCTGTTTGTTTTCTGAATAGTTTTTAGCTGAACGTAGTCTGTAGTAGAAAGGTTGTGATGGTGATTGCTTTTTGAAAATTACTTTTAGCAAAATCACCTTTGTGTCAGTAGCCAGTACATTATTTGTCCGTAAAACCCAGAAATGACTGCTGATTTAGTACAACTCGTTTTGTAGACCGAACCTCAAAGAGGTGAGATGTCTCACCTAAAATTATGAAACCTGAGATTATAATCCAGTTCTCTTTGACTCTGGAATCAGTGCTGTTTTCTATGATGCTCACTCTGCTTTTATTTCTTTGGGTGGAGAGTACAGCCTCTGGAGAGTGACTGGGTTAGCATTTTGGCTAACCATTTTCTGGCGCTGGTGACATATCTGAGCCAGGGTTTCCTCCATATAGAATGATAATAATGATGCTTGAATTGGTTTGATACATGTAAAGCTCTTTAACTGTTAACTGCTATTATAAAGATTTATTTACCCAATTCATTGTTAATAACTTTAAAGTTTTTTATTTAGATATATCAGTTGGTAAGGTTTCTTCTCTTTGTTTTCTCTTACTTGACTTATTTTACCTGGGCAAGTTTATAAACGTTATTTTTTCTCTACCTCAGTCCAGATACACACTTTTTGGAATTTTTGAAAAATTATTTACTTTAATTTGCATTATTATTGCCTTTGTTTTATCGAAACCATAAACTTGAAATACAGTAGTGAAATTTTGGTTGTGATTTATAAATAAATTTGTGTATTTGAGGAACAGTAAGTACATTGAAAATTTCTTTATCTAAATAATCCAGTTATAAATAACAAATATAATTGCTTGAAATCATTTTATAAAATGTATTTTCTTCAACTTCTACTTTCTAACTTAAAATAATATTGTATTCTTTTCTAGTTACCTGCTGTACCATGCTATCTTGCAATATATGTGGTGAAACAGTAACCTCAGAACCAGACATGAAGACTCACCTCCTAATTGTTCACATGGAAAATGAAGTTACATGTCCATTTTGCAAGTTGTCAGGTGTGAATTATGATGAAATGTGTTTTCATATTGAAACTGCTCATTTTGAGCAAAATGAACTAGAAAAAAACTTTGAGAGGATTAATACAGTACAGTGTGGAACTTCCAATAGCAGGAAGGACAGCACCCTACAGTGTAGAATGGAAGTTAATTCAAGTATTCATTCAGCTTGTGCATCTAATCATCCGAAAATTTCAGCTCAAGGCCCGCCTAACAATGGTATTTTAAAACATAAAGGCTTTCATTCAGAGAACTTAACTGAATCTAGAAAATTCCTGAAAAGTAAGGAAAAACAGTCTGACCGAACCAAAATTAAAGGATCAATTTATGAAGCAATGTATAGTCCTCCTGAATGTCCATTCTGTGGAAAAATAGAAGGTTGTAGTCAAGATATGGAAACTCATGTGAAAACAGAGCATGCCGATCTTTTAGACACTCCATTAGAAGGTAAAGTATTCGTTTTATATAATAAGTAAGTAGCAGTAGTCTCAGTTTAATATGTGGTGTCCCAAAAGTTGATTTGTAAATGAGATCACTAAAAATGTGTTTTCAATTTGTTTATAACATTGTTCATTTGCCATTATTGCAATATGAAAATACAATAATGGAAAAGAGTTTTGATGCAAATAGTAAATGTTTCAGCTACATTGAAAATAGTTTTAGAAACTTTCTGAGGAGAAATACACTCAGAGTCCAGTTTGCAGAGGCCATTTTTTTTTTTTTTTTTTTGTGGTACGCGGGCCCCTCACTGCTGTGGCCGCTCCCGTTGCATAGCACAGGCTCCGGACACGCAGGCTCAGCGGCCGTGGCTCACGGGCCTAGCCACTCCGCGGCATGTGGGATCTTCCCGGACCGGGGCACGAACCTGGGTCCCCTGCATCGGCAGGCAGACTCTCAACCACTGCGCCGCCAGGGAAGCCCTGCAGAGGCCATTCTTTTATTTACCACCAGCCCAGTGGCATCTGAACTGTCTGGAACTCAGATTTTGTAACCAAGTTCTAGTTTGATTCTGTTATGATCAGAGAACAAACTTTATGGTTTAAGTTCTTTTGAATTTCTTGAAACTTGTTTTATGGCCTAAGGTATGGTATATGGTCTATCTCAGCACATGTTCCATAGACACTTGGGGAAAAAATGTGTGTTCTGTGGTTGTTGGGTCGAGTGTTCTATATTTGTCAATTAGGGTATGTTGTTTGATCGTGTTCAGATCTTCCATGTCCTTGCTGATTTCCTGTCTAGCAGTTCTACCGGTTTTTGGAAGGGAGTTGAAGTCCCTAATTATAATTGTGTATTTGTCTGTTTTTCCTTTCAGCTCTATTAGGATTTGTTTCATGTATTTTGAGGCTCTTTTATTGGTGCATACACATTTAGAATCATGTATTTCTTCGATACCATTGAGTTTTTAAGAGTAATTTATATATTTTGGATGCAAGTCCTTTATCAGATAATGTTTTATGCAAATATTTTTTCCTGGTCTGAGGCTTGTCTTTTCATTCTCTTAACAGTGTCTTTCACAGCACAGAAGTTTTTACTTTTAATGAAGTTCAACTTACTTGATTTCTTCTTTCATGGGTTGTGCTTTTGGTGTTGTATCAAAACTCCTTGCCAGACCCAAGGTCACCTTTCCCATGTTATCTTCTAGAAGTTTTAGAGTTTTGAATTTTACATTTAAGTCTGATTCATTTGAGTTAATTTCTATTAAAGGTTAAGGAGAGTGCATAAATTCATTTTTTGAAATCTAATAAATGCTATTTTTTAGGGAAGTTTCAGGTTCACAGCAAAATTGAGTAGAAAGTACAGAGATTACCCATATACCCCCTGTCCCCTTATCCTCACAACCTTCTCCATTATTCAACAACCCATACCAAGTGATAGTTTGTTAAAATCAGTGAATCTACATTGACACATCAATATCACTCAAAGTCCATAGTTTACATTAGGATTCACTCTTGGTGTTATATATTCTACAGGGGTTTTTTTGGGTTTTTTTGTTTGTTTGTTTTGCGGTATGCTGGCCTCCCACCGCTGCGTCCCCTCCTGTCACGGAGCACAGGCTCCGGACACGCAGGCCCAGCGGCCATGGCTCACGGGCCCAGCCGCTCCGCGGCACGCGGGATCCTCCCAGACTGGGGTCGAACCCGCATCCCCCGCATTGGCAGGCAGACTCCCAACCACTGCGCCACCAGGGAAGCCCTATTCTACAGGTTTTGACGAATGTATAATTACACGAACCCACCATTTAGTATTTAGTATCATACAGAATAGTCACACTGCCCTAAAATTCCTCTGTGCTCCACCTATTCATCCTTCCCTCCCCCTGGCAACCACTGATCTTTTTACTATCCATATTTTTGCCTTTTCCAGAATGTCATATAATTGGAATCATACAGTATGTCGCTTTTTCAGATTGGTTTATTTCACTAAGTAATGTACATTTAAGATTCCTCCATGTCTTTTTATGGCTTGATAGCCCATTCTTTTTTTTTTTAAGCGTTGAATAATATTCCTTTGGATGTGCCACAGTTTATTTATCTGTTCACCTACTGAAGGACATCTTGGTTGCTTCCAGGTTTTGGCAATTATGAATAAAGCTGCTATAAATGTCCATGTACCGGTTTTTGTGTGGACAGAAATTTTCAATTCATTTGGGTAAATACAAGGGAATTCATGATTCTGGATCATATGGTGACAATGTGTTTAGTTTTATAAGAAACTGCGAAACCCTTCCAAAGTGGTTGTACCATTTTGCATTCCCACCAGCAGTGAATGAGAGGTCCTCGTGCTCACATCCTTGCCAGCATTTTGTGTTGTCAGTGGTCCAGATTTTGGTCATTCTAATATATGTGTAGTGTTATCTTGTTTTAATTTGCAGTTCCCTAATAACATAATAACATTTTCGGTACCCAGTATCAGCCAAGTCTTGGTCTTGTAGAGGTACCATTTCTTCTGTCTTGGGCATGCTCCCAACTAGGGCATTTGATCCCAGTGTCCTGCTTTTTTGCTGAATGCTTGAATTCTGCATGTCACCACGCAGTTTGGAGGGTACTGAGAATCCAGCCCCCAAAGTCCATATCTGAACTGGTCTCTACTTACCATTTGATTTTCCTTTTTCCTTTTCTTTTCTTGTTTTGACTACGGAGCTAAATGTTTATTATTAATATTTTCCTTTATTGTAAGAGGTTTGTGCTTATGCTCAGGCTTTCATCTTGACCCTAGAAGTAGAAAAATTGCTTTAAATCCAACTACAAAGAGCTTTTACTTATTTAATAAAGTTAGTGGGTAGTAGAGTCTTTGACTTGGGGTGAAAAATTTTAAGGTTTTAAAAATCAAACCAACTAAATTATATCTCTAATACAGATTGTAATCAACCACTCTATGACTGCCCTATGTGTGGGCTCATCTGTACAAATTACCATATTCTCCAAGAACATGTTGACTTGCATTTGGAAGAAAGCAACTTTGGACAAGGTATGCCTATATATTTAAAGATAAGAATGTCATGATTTAATTTCTACTTCCTAGGATACTATCTACTTTTTAGATTAGTGTTATAGAGGGAAAAAAAAACCCACACTGGTTAAAAATAAATCTGTCCCTTAAAAAATTCTAATACCGCTTCAACTTTTTAAAGAAGTTCTTTCACAGAAAAGTTATAAAGGATGAACTATTGTGACTAACAACTGAACTAGGGGTGTGAATCCAGGGTTTTGACCTAGAACATCAGTATTTAGAAGACAGTGAAATATTGTACAATTTAAAAAACTTTTTGATTTATAAGTTGAGACCATTCTTTCAGCAGCTGGAAGTAGTTGAATTTAGCATCTTGTCAGTAAAAATTGTTTATGAACTAGGAAGCTGCCATATGGCACATATAATTTTAAAAAGAATATGAACTATGAGACTTAAAAGTTTTTCAAGTGCATTTTCAGATACTCTTCTAGTTTCTTTATTACCACCTACTAGTTTTATAAGAGATTCTAAAGTTTTCCTCTGTCCCCTATTTTTTTTAATAGTGGTATTGATTAAGTAATCATGAGGGTGCCTTAGAAGTGGAAAGATCCTATATGATTTTCACAATTCCATTGAAACAAAATGTAATGTAGACCTAAAGAGAAACCAATTGTGTTCTACTGGATTTCAGTTTCTTAGGGTACATAGATATCTCCTGTTAATGCAGGGGTTTTTAGTGTTCATTATCAATGATCCTAGCACCACTTAGTGATGTCCAGGGACAGCATTACCTGCTCACTCAGCCTAATACGAAGATGAGAATTACTGGAGTAAAGATGGAACAGTTCTCTACTGTGGTGGTTCTTTACTAATTACTATGGAAGAATAAATCTCTGAAGTTGAGAGTCTAATAGTTCTTACTTTGTTTATGATAAGCTTTGTATGGGTACATAAATTATTCTGTAAGCCTGTAGTGGGTAATGAGAGAAAAATATGGTCTGAGTGAATCACTGTTGATAGCTTCAGAAGTATGCTAAGAATCAGTTTTGAATTGCATATTTCTACCAGTGGAAGTAGGGACAAATTAGGAAGATGTAGCAGAGGCTGAGAGATTTGAAAGGAAAGAAAGAATATTCAAATACATAATTAAACCATCAAATTGGGAGGTCAAGGAGATGCTGGCCAGAAGACACTCATTAATGGATCTGTGGGACACTGGGTAGAGAGGAAAAAGGGCAAGATGTTCCATAGTTGTACTATTTGCTTAGGGGTCAGACTGTAATTAAGTTACAATCTAATATCTGTACTTTGCAAACTTATATTTTTACCTTCTTTATTATTTCCTTCCTCCCCCTAGTATTTCTTTTAAAAACCAATATGCCTTATTTTTGTTAATGAGGGGCACTGCTCAAGGGTGCTACTTAATTTCTCTAAGTTCTGGTTTCCTTAGTAGATAATAATACCTAACTTCCTAAGGTTGTTATGAGGATCCAAATGAGATAATTAATAAGAAGTGCCTGTCACAGCCTAAACACTCAGCGAGTATTAGCGATTTAAGTGGAGGTTATACCCTTACAGAAGCAGTCCAAGTTCTGCTAGATTTGTTCTCAGTGTTTCTGTGACATCGTAGTCATGAATAAATGGCAAAATAATAGCATTTACTCCTTTTAAAAAATATGTATTAACATATAAGTGAGCCTTTATTTCAGTAGTTATTTTATTCTAAACATTAAAAATGTATAATAGGTATGGATAGAGTCCAGTGTTCTAGAGATCTGGAATTGGCTCAACAGCTTCAACAAGAAGAAGACAGAAAGAGGAGATCTGAAGAATCAAGACAAGAAATGGAAGAATTTCAGAACCTGCAGGTACAAAGATTAATAGCAATTATATTATTTTGGTTTGGTTAGAGTTCTTATTTTTCAAACATGCTATCAAGCCTTCAGCCTATTATTTTTGTCTTTATTATACAAAATATTTTTTTACATATATTTTTTATAGTTCATAACAGCCACCATTTATAAGTACTCATTCTGGTCATGTACTAGGGTGAACACTTCGTATAAAGTATCTTAAAATCTTCAGTGCTCCATGAAGTTATTTTAGACTTTTTTTTTAACAGAAGATGAAGAAATGGAGACATAAAGTACTTAAGTAGCTTAACTTGCTCAGGGTTTGGCAGTATTAAATGGTAAAGCCTGGATATAAACCTATGTCAATGGGAAAAATGAGGAAATTGAGACTCGGAATTTTAAGTGTTTGTATAGGTACTTAAAACAGAAACTTAGAATTAATGTCTCCTGAGTCTTAAATTCTTTTAGTGATTGCAATTCAGGCATTTAGAAAGAACCATTTTTAATGGAAAATGCTTTTTGATGATGTTTGAGACTTCATTTTTTTTAGGTGAGTGGTGGTATCTGTTGAACTAAACTGGTAGCATCTATTATATTTTTAATGCATTAAAAATTTTAACATCTTTTTCTACTTTTTTCAGACCTAATTTGCTGTAGACTATGATGTCATCTGTGTTAATAATGCTCATATAGTTTTTGAGTGTTCTTTTTCTATGTGCTAATAGGGTAATGTATGAGTAAAAAGGGTTTATGATTGAATAGGTTTGAAAGTGTCCACTTAAACAGGTTTGTGTACTTGGGGTCTTCTCAAAGCCTTTAAAATACTAATATGCATTGTACATATCGTAATCTTCCTGATCTTATTTGACCTCTTACTTTTTTTTCTCCAGTATCTTAGACATGGCTATTCTTCCTTTGGAATATCTAATTTAGGCTATTTTTCTCATTCATGATTCATTTATTTGCAAAATTATTTTCCCACCAGGATTCAGAGGAGAAAAGAAAGTTGGCTTTTCCTAAGTCGTCTTTGCCTTATATAATTTTGAAACATTTATCAATACAAAAACTTTTCGGTGTTTAAGGGAGTTTATTATGTAAGTTTGCAGGTTACTTGTTCAGATCTCAGAAATGTTTTCCATAGGGGCTGTTTTAACATATTATTGTCAGTGTGCAAAAACATAGTTCATTCACTACATAGAATGAATACCTGAATGAATTATGGATTAAGTAGGCCTTTGTAGGCTAGCCTAGGAACCAAATAACAAGTACTGACAGGTTGTCTTGAAAAAATCAGCAGTATGGTCAGAACTCATCTGCCTTTCACAGTACCATTAGTAGGAAGACAGGATTCTCTACTTTCCCTACTACAAGGAAAACAAGTCTCTTACCATGATGGTTGTTTGTAGAGAAAGGCTATTATTAACTTAGGGATTTTTTTGTGTGTGATTTATTTTTCATAAAAATCTTTAAGTTGACTTGTATAAATGTCTATAAACCAGAATGTTTCAAAATATATTTCCAGATATAAAAAATAGTGGGAAGTTTCCATCCTCATTAATGTAAAGGGACATAAAAATTAAGTCATTTGTTTTTATGTTCGATAGAGACAATATGGTTTAAATAATTCTGGAGGGTACAAGCAACAGCAGCTACGAAATATGGAGATAGAAGTAAATAGGGGAAGAATGCATCCATCTGAATTTCATAGAAGAAAAGCTGATATGATGGAATCACTAGCTATTGGTATTGATGATGGAAAAACAAAAACTTCTGGTGAGTATTTAAACATCCAAATCATGGTTTTAATATTCCATACACACTGAAGTAATAATCAGAATTATTTGAATTTTGTGTAATTTTCATAACCCATAGTTTATATAGTTTTAGGTGAGACTGTGTGTTCAAGTAATTTTTTGTTTGTTGTTTTAAAACTCCTGAACTTTTATTTTTATAGTAAATAATTCACTTAAAAATAATTCACTTTTATATTGTGTCAATTTATTTGACATTTGGAAACAAACCTTTTAGAAAAGTTTTTAAGTGCTTACTATGTTCTAGACAATTGCTGTCTAGTAGAATGTGAGCCACATAAATAATTTTAAATTTCCAGTAGTCACATTAGAAAAAGTAAAAAGGACTAGGTGAAATTAATTTTAATATTTTTCCAGCGTGTCCATAATATGTCAACATGTAATAGGTATTAAAAACTGTTAATGGGATGTTTTACAATTCTTCAAAATCCAATGTGTATTTTACTTTGTAGGGCATCTCAGTTTGGACAAGCCACACTTCAGGTGTTCAAATAGCCACCTGTAAATAGTTTCTACCGTATTGTTCAGTACAGTTTTAGATACTAAGACCTTTATATATATTGTATCATGTAACTCTCAAAAGAAAAATCTTGTGTACTGTTCGATTTTTCTGGATGAGGTCATTGTGACTTAGGTTAAATTACTTTCCCAAGGTAAGGTTACATAGCTAGTTATTGGCCCAGCTGGTATTCACAATCAGATCTGTCTTGTTCCAAAGAATGCCATTTTTCCTGATGTTTTTAACATTTTTTTTTGACATGTCTGTTAGTATAGTTTAAAAAAAAACCAAATTATATGGAAACAGCTTTGTTCCCACCACCCAGTTTTTACGAAATTTAATGTTTTAAAGCTGTAAACCCTTTCATATGTATTTTAAACCCCTTGCGTACCCCTCATTCATTCTGATTTCTGTCCTCCACAAAGGGAATCATTATCCTGAATTTGGTATTTATCAGTCTCATATATGTTTTAATAATTTTATCTTATATGTAGGTTTCCATAATAATACTTAATCTTTTATATTTTAAACTACGTGTAAATTGGTATACAATATGTATGCTTTAATTGGATTTGCTTAAATATATTGATTCTTATAACTGTACTTCATTCATTTTGATTGCTGTATAGAATTTCCTTGTATTACTTAGGTTGTTTCCAGTGTTTTATTCTTACAAATTGTGAACAGGTTTCCCCCTCAAGAGTTTCTCTAACATCCAGACTGGAAATACTAGATTAAAGGGTATTTGCATAATTAACTTTGTTAAGGGTGTTATGGAGTTGTTTTCTAAAATGGTTGTAATCTACATTAGCATCAGTGTGTTCTGACTTATACTTTGTATCGTGACACTTTTTAATTTTTGCCATTTAATAGGGCATGAGAGGAGGATACATCTCTTAATTGTATTTCTCGGATTACTCCTGAGTTAGTTTCTTCTGTAAATAACCTAGTCCCTTCCTTTTCCCCTTCTCTGTTGGGTTGTTTGTCCTTTTCTTATTGATTTTTGGAAGTCCATTAAGTATTCAGGATACTAATTCTTCATTGATTATATGAGGAGCAAATATCTTCTTCAAATCTATAATTTGCCTTTAAATTTTGTACATGGTGTCTTCAATTAGACAGAATTTTAAATTTGAATATAATTGAATTTCTTAATCTTTCCCTTTATTTGTTTTCTAAGTGTCTTGTTTAAGAAACCCCCCCATCTTTGAGATCATAAACATACCCCTTTATATTGTCTTTAAATATTTATACCCTTAAAATGGATAACCAACAAGGACCTACTGTATAGCACAGGGAACTCTGCTCAATATTATGTAACAACCTAAATGGGAAAAGAATTTGAAAAAGAATAGATACATGTATATGTATAACTGAATCACTTTGCTGTACACCTGAAACTATCACAAAATTGTTAATCAGCTATACTCCAATATAAAATAAAAAGTTTTTAAAAAAGTATATATTTTTTTAAAAAGATAGTTCCTTCACATAGATCATGGTATTTTTTTATGCCAACTGGAAGTGATTTTAGCACATAAAAATCAACTCACTGTGATAAACCATAATATGGAAAAGAATATTATATGTATAACTGAGTCACTTTGCTGTACAGTAGAAATTAACACATTGTAAATCAACTGTACTTCAATCAAATAAACTAAAATTAAAAAAAATAGAACAAAACAAAAGAAAAATTTATGCCTGCTTTTCATATTCAGGAATTCCCTGGTGGTCCGGTGGTTAGGACTCCGCACTTCCACTGCAGGGGGCACAAGTTTGATCCCTGGTTGGGGAACTAAGGTCCCGCAAGCGGCACTGCCAAAAATATAAAATAAAATAAAGTAGCCGTTACTAAAAAAAAAAATTATACCTTGCTTTTCATATTTTGACTTTTAATCAACTTGGAATTTATTTGTGCATATGTCTGTGTGAGAGAGAGGGAAGGAGGGAAAAAGTTGAGTGAGCGAAAGAGAAGGTATGGATCTAATTTTTCCCCTTATTTGTAGTGATACTTATAATACTAAGTTGTCATTGCTTGTTTATCTCAGTACCACTTAGCAAATCTGTACTGTCTCCATGTATTTGTAACACATGTCATATTTTCATATATCCATACGTCTGTTTCTGAAGGCTGTCTTTATACTTCAAGGGTCTCCCTGCAGAAAGTTTCCATACAGGATAGGACTTCCCAGCAGATGTGTAATATGATGCATTAGGGTATATAGGAAGAAAATATTAGAACTTCTACTTGTCTTTAATTTATGGTATCCTTTAATTTCTGTTTATACATATGTTTTAGAGTTACTGGAGAATATAGTAGTGTATGTATAATTTAAAATAAATATATCTGTAAAAGATTGAAGAACACTGACCTGTAATGTACTGTGTCCTTTTTATTTAGAAGTAATCGATTTAGTGCTAAAGATTTTTTTTTACTCCCTTCACTCATTTCTCCCATCCCCCCACATCCTGCCTCTGGCAAAGACCAGTCTGTTCCCTGCATCCATGAGCTTGTTTTTGTTGTGGTGGTGGTTGTTGTTTTGTTGTTGTGTTTTTAGATTCCACATGTAAGAGAGATAATGCAGTATCTGTCTTTCCCTGTCTGACTTACTTCACTTAGCATAATGCCCTTAAGGTCCCTCCACTGTTACAAATGGCAAGATTTCATTCTGTTCTGTGGCTAAATAATATTCCATTGTATGTATGTATGTGTGTGTTATCTCTTCTCATTTTGTTTTTTGTTGTTGTTGTTACATTAATTTTTTTTTTATTGGGGTATAGTTGATTTACAATATTATATTAGTTTCAGGTATACAACATAGTGATTCAGTACTTTTTAGATTAAAGTTATTATAAAATATTGGCTATATTCCTTGTGCTGTATAATATATCCTTGTAGCTTATTTATTTTATACATAGTAGTTTGTACTTCTTAACCCCCTACCCCTATTTTGCCCCTTTTTCCTTCTCTCTCCACACTGGTTAACCACTGATTTGTTCTCTATATATGTGAGTCTGTTTCTGTTTTGTTACATTCCTTTGTTTTATTTTTTAGATCCCTCATATAAGTGATAACATACAGTATTTGTCTTTCTCTGACTTATTTTACTAAGCGTTATTACCCTTCAGGTCCATCCATGTTGTTGCAGATGGTGAAATTTCATTCTCTTTTCTGGCTGAGTAGCATTCCTTTGCGTGTATGTATGTGTACCACAATTTCTTTATCCATTCATCCTTCAGTGGACACCTAGGGTCTATATCTTGTTTATTATAAACCGTTATGCAGTGAACATAGGGGTGCATATATCTTTGCAAGTTAGTATTTTTGTTTTCTTCTGAAACAGATTGGCTTGCTGTGTCATATGGTAGTGAAATTTCTGGATCATATGGTAGTTCTAGTTTTATTTATTTGAGGAACCTCCATACTGTTTTCAATAGTGGCTGCAACAGCTTTCAAAAGTATGCAAATATATACAGTCCTGTTGGACTGCTAGTATAAGGCCTGCTGACCAGGTGATATGGCAGTGTCCCCTGGGTGACAATCGCAAAAATCAGGGTTGCACACAAGTGTATGGGCTCTTTTCTGGAAGTTACTGGTAAGCTGGAGTAAGAGGGAGAATGCCAAGGTGGCATCCACAGCCTTCGTTCCTTGAGAGCAGCTCCCTAGTCCACTAGATATGTGCCAATCCTGAAGCTTGCCCCCCAGGCTGAATCTCTAAGACAAAGAAAGAGGCTGCCTTCAGAGAAAGACTTGGGGATATGCCTCAGTTTTTTTGTCTGTGCAGTGCCCTGGAGATGGCGGCCTTCTAAGAATTGTCTTCCCGATTGCCATAGTCCTGTGAGACCCAGGAATGCAAGCCCTCCTGGCCACCAGAATCAGGCTGTCAGGGTGGCAGCTGTGAAAGCTGGGGTACCAGGCGTAAAAACCAGGACACCAGCCGTGTGTAAGGCTCCCCTCCAGGAGACACTGGCTCTCTGAAAACTTCCCTAACCTTGGGAAGGAAAAAGAAATCCAGATCCAGGAAATCCAGACTTCCAAATAAAATTTGTATTTTTTGTTAGTTATGCAGATGTTAATTGAAGCTGCTCTCATTTGAAGAGTCTCATTATTTTAACATTCTATATTCTATATAGAATAGAATAGAATTTAACAGAAGGTACATTCATCTTGGAAAATATCTAAAGACATTTAGGTGCTAAGAAATAAAAACTTTAATTATGAGGAAATTTTCCTTTAAAAGCAAGTGCTATGATGTGGTTACTAGGACAGTATTACATACACAATGAGGCATCATTGAGTTAGTAATAACTATGCCAAAGTATATTAGAATGTACATTACTTTTTTTCCCTATTTTTCTGTTATTCCACCTCACTCTTAAATGTCTCTCAAATCTTGATCTCTTTATCAAAGTCTGTGATACTGAATCTCACATTAATTTCTCTGAATTCCTAGAGTACCCGTTCCATGCTACAACATTTAGTACTCAGTTATATAGCATTTTAATTGTTCTTTTTCTTGACGGTGAGTCTAATCTTTTTAAGTTCCCTGGAAATGGTTATAATGGTCTATATTTCTGTCCTTCATAGTGTAGGCACAGCTACAACTCTTGGTTCCTTTAATTGTTTTGATTTATTGACTCTGCCTTCTTAAAGACAAAAACCCATTTTCCTATAGGATAATCTTCATTCAAGTAAAGTATTTAGTGATTGCCTTTTTGGTGCCATGTTCTATGTGAGAAAGTATGGGCTATCCAAATAAGATTTTCCTGCCAATAAGCTTCCCAGAGTCTGTAAAGTATGCACAAAGAACTGTAGAATTCTGCCATGAAATATGACCAGTACCTAGGAGGCACAAGTAAAATGTAGTGATTGTTCAGAAAAAGAGGACCTTTTTGTTTGGGGTTATGGAATCAGGAAAAGTGTTTACAAAGACTGTAGCATTTGCTTCTGAAGGTATCAGTAGGATTTTGAAATATAGGGAGAATTACTAGAAGGAAGAAAGGGATAGAATCAGATGTACCCTGTCCTAACACCTTGTTATTCATGCTATAGCACTTATTATAATCTGGGTCCAGGAGGTTTTAAGGAATATTGTCATAATACTTTGTATCCTCAATGCTTAGCATAGTGCTAAGTATTTTAAAAGTGCTTAGTAAATATTGTAATTGAATGAAAACTCCATGGTCAAAATCATGTTCAGTTAGGCCACAGCCAAAATTGTGGCAAGAAGAGTGGTTTGAAATAAAGATAAGTTAGAGGATAGCCTGCTGTGGGCTTCATATACCATGGATTAAAACTATTCCATGGGTAATAGGAAGCTATTGAAGTTTTTAAATTGAGAGCAAATTGACTAGGACTGAGCTTCAGAAAGAATGATGTCCAGCAGAATGTATAATAAAATGGGGGGTCAAGAACATTCATTCAGCAGTGTACTTTTATGTGCTGGCCCTGCAGATGCAGAAGTGAAGGAAGCAAACAGTTTCAATTCAGCATAATAAAGTAATATGCTAGTATTAGGAAACTCTCATAGTAGTAAATAAGCAGGACAATAACCAAGATTATATCAGTAAAAAGATAAAGAAGATGGAATCGACAGGATTTAGATGTGGCCCTTGAGAAAGAGGTTGATATTAGAAATATATGAGACAGCCATAGAAAGATGATATTCCTCTAAACTTTCTAAATCTCTTTTTCACTTTAGGAATTATGGAAGCACTTTATAGGTATTATCAGAATGCTGCCACAGATGTGAGGCGTGTGTGGCTTTCTACAGTAGTGGATCACTTTCAGTCATCTTTTGGTGACAAAGGTTGGGGTTGTGGTTACAGAAATTTCCAGATGCTGCTTTCATCATTATTACAAAATGATGCTTATGATGATTGCTTGAAAGGTATGTGAAATACGATACCCTGAACTTATCATCTGATAAAGTACATTTGATGTGGAATGAATTAATATATAGTAGGCACAATTAATAGCTTTAATAAAGATGTATTTTAGTGGATATTTACATTAAAAACCTGAATTCTGGTTGAAGGAAGAGAAAATGATATGGTAGAAGATGTCAGAAATAATGGCATAAAAACTGTAGGTTCCTGTAGAATGTATGGTGTACTGCTAAATGATATTATTCAGTACTTTACTGTCATATTACATATTTGCTTTGTATAATTTTAGGTATGTCAGTTCCTTGCATTCCAAAAATTCAGTCTATGATTGAAGATGCATGGAAGGAAGGTTTTGATCCCCAGGGTGCCTCTCAACTTAATAACAGGTTACAGGGAACAAAGGCCTGGATTGGAGCATGTGAAGTATATACACTTCTGACCTCCCTAAGGATAAAGTATGTACCTAAAAAACCAAGTTAATGTTATTGTCATATCTGGGAAATTTTTGTTATTGTGGTTTTTTTTTTAATCAAAGGGATAGTTAAAAAATAAAATTTAAGTAGGATTAAAATGAAAGACTTACAATGAAAACCAGCAACTCATTCCCCATTTCATGCTCTTATCTATTCTCTAGTCCTGTCTCTCAGAGGCAGCTGTCACTTCCATTGTTTTTTTGTTTGTTTGTTTTTTTTTTTTGCGGTATGGGCCTCTCACTGTTGTGGCCTCTCCCGTTGCGGAGCACAGGCTCTGGACGAGCAGGCTTAGCGGCCATGGCTCACGGGCCCAGCCGCTCCGCGGCATGTGGGATCTTCCCAGACCGGGGCGCGAACCCGTGTCCTCTGCACCAGCAGGCGGACTCTCAACCACTGCGCCACCAGGGAAGCCCACTTATATTGTTTTTAAATAATATGCTTTCATGGCCTTTTCTTGGTTTGTCACTTTTAGACATTGTCTGTTGCATTCTCCTTATATCTCCCATCTGTTTCCCCTCAATTTTTGTAATATGGTTAAATCTCAGTTTTTATTAAGTTAAAGTCAGGGTTTACATCATGACTGTGTAAATATTATTCATTGCTGATTTTATATCTTTCCTGAAAAGCTTTTTAAAATTTTCTTTGAGTTAAGAATTGCCTTTCCTTTTCCGTTTTACAGTTTGGCTGCATCATGGTCAAATTTTTCCAAAAACTCCATTTATCATGAAATCTGAGGTGCTCCTTATTCCTGGACACCTTTTTCTTGAAGCTGTCTTTCCTCTGCTCTAGTCTGCATTATTTGCCTTCTAGATCCCTTCCACAGCTCTAATCATGTTGCATTTCTTCACTGTTTTCTTGAATTGGGTCCTGGATTTTTCCTGGATTCCATGTCTCTCTCTTTTTTGGATTACTCTCTTTTGCTTGAACACTTCCTTTATTAGCCTTCTAAGAAATGGTACCTAGTCTTATTACGTAAGTGATAGTTTGTGTGGCTGTATTATTCTTAACCCAAAATCATTTTCAAATCAGATCAAGTTGTTACTCTGTTGACTTCTAGCAATCAGTATTACTAAAGAGAAGGTAAGCTGCCATCTGATTTTTGTTCCTTTGTGTATAACCTATTTATTTTCTCTGGAAGTTTTTTTGCATCTTTTCTTAGCCCCGATACTATGAAAATTCACCATTGGATGTGGGGCTTTGATTCATTGTGTTGGGCATTTGTTTTTCCTTTTGAATCTGGAATTGTAGGCTATAAGATCTCAGTATAGTGGTTAAGGGCTTAGACTTTTTGAAGTAAGATTGCCTACAATTGATTCTAGCTTTCTGCCTGCTAGCTCTACGACTTAACTTGTCCTAGTCCCACCATTGATAAAAGAACATGTAAATAGTTACTGCTTCATAGAGTTGTAGTGATAATTAAATGAGATAATAATGTCCTTAGGACTATGACTGGCATGTAGTAAGAGCTTAGAGGTTAAATGTTGTTTGATAATTATGATCCCTCCATTTTCTTTATTTTTCTTTCTGGAACTCCTGTTAGTTGGCCACTGAACTTCTTTGACTTTCTTTGATTTTGTTTTACTATCTAACTTTACTCAACGTTATCTCCCAGCTACTCTATTGAAATTTTTATTTTAACAATCATGTTTTTAATTTTAAGGGGTAATTTCATACCATCGTATTCTTTTATGGTTGTAAAATTTTTTTCCAACATTTTCTTTTTTTCTATTCCTTGCATTTTTCTGTATCCTCCATGTTAAATTGCTTTCATGTCTATTTATTTTAGTCTTTTCCATTTGGAAGGCTTTCTTGTAACTTTTAAAAATCCTTAGCTGTCTGTTCCTAAAGTGAAGAATGAGGCACTAAAAAGCTGATTGGCGGACCTCGGCTTTCAAGAGACATCGGAGATAGATGCTTATGATCATCTTTAATGGAAAGTTTGCCTTAAGCTTCATGACTCTATATTAATTGCTTTTACTTATATTTGACCTTTTTTAAAATAGTTGTTGAGAAGTGTAAATAGTGCTCCTGTTTAAAATAGTTTGGTTTATTCATGGTTGACTTCCTCTTGAGGAAACAATACCACCATGGTCTGTTGCCAAATAGGAGATAGATAGATGTATAGATGGGGGTACATACAGGTTTTTTATGATCTTTACAGGTATTCTTTTCTTGTCTATTATTGAAATTTGAGAGAACTGACAGGAAAAATATTTAGGATATTTTTGATAGCTTCAAATGGCTGTTGAGGAATTATAATTAGAGGTCGGCTTCTAATTGATCATCGGGTTTAGAGACTTTGGAGTAAAAGTCCCTATGTCTCAGGTTATAGGTAGACTTTTAAAAATCAAGTATGACCCTCATTTACTACTAATGGAAGTTTTATATGTCAGAAAATTTTTGTAACTTTTATATCTGTCATCAACCTTAAAAGTTATTTAAATAATTTCCTCGTAAAATAAAGTTTTCAGATAAATAATAAAATTTTTATTTCTTCTTAAGAAAATGATGATGAAATAAAATTAATTCTAAATTAAGAATTTTTTGTATTTTATAACTCCATTGATGAAAAAATTTTTTTAATATTTTTCTAAATAATCCATTTTGTCAATTTTTTTTATAGGTGTCGTATTATTGACTTTCACAAGTCAACTGGCCCTTTGGGTACACACCCTCGCTTATTCGAATGGATATTGAGCTACTATTCTTCAGAGAGAGAAGGGAGTCCGAAAGTACTGTTTACATCTAAACCTCCTATCTATCTTCAACATCAAGGTTAGTATAACTTACAGATACTAAGTATAACTTATAAGACAATTTATTTTTATGAGACAGGCAATTGGCTTTTGCTTTAGGATACGTTAAGATTCTGATAATTAATGGGAGGAGAGGAGTATTGTGACATTACTCTTATTTTTAGAGCTGTATTGTCATCATGACACATTCCAGTAATGGATGATGTCCTTGGTATCTTCAGGGCCACCTGGTTCACTCTCCCTTTATTGTTCATCCTTTACATTTTCCAAGGCTTTACCTCACTTCAGTGAGGCCTTCCCTGACCATCTTTTTGAAAAATTCATCTTGTTATTCTACCCCCCTCCAACAATGGCATTTCCTATCCCTCTTCCCTGCTTTATTTTTCTTTATCTAACATGATATATATAAACTTTACCTATTTACCTTGTTTGTGGAGAATTCCTTCCTATTAGAATATAAGCTCCATGAAGGCAGAAGTGTTTGTTTTGTTTGCTTTTGTATCACTAACTGCATGGAATAGTGCCTGGCATATGGATATTTCATAAAATTTGTCGAATGGATGATTTGGATTGACAGGAGGAAAGAGAAGTAAATATTAGGAATTTCATTGTTCAGGATACAAGCTAGAAAGTTTAAGCCCTTCCCATTGAAGTTCTGGTATGTATAAATTGACTCTTGTTTACCTTTTGGAACCATGAGACTTTTTGTTCTTCAGTAGGTAAATTTCAAATCCATTCTTCTGAGATAATTTGAATAAGAAGGACTATGGGATTAGGAAAGAAAAACTAAAATATACGGCATAGTGAAAGTAGAATTTTTTGCCATGAAGCCTTTAGAAAACTAAAATTGAACAAAGAAAACTGAAAGTGTCTTAGAACTGAAAGAACTCAGATAACCTATATGTCAGAGGGACTGACTGTATTTATATTCTAAATACACATGTGCACACACACTATATATAGAAAGTGTATATAGTGTGTCTATATATGTGCGTGTTTATATATAGTAACATATCTGTATATAGCTGTACATATAAGTAGATATCACACACACACACACACACACACACACACACACATATATATATATATATAGCTCTTACTTGATTTTTTGATAGGTCATAGTCAAACAGTTGTTGGAATTGAAGAGAGAAAAAACCGAACATTATGTTTACTAGTATTTGATCCTGGATGTCCTTCTCGAGAAATGCAGAAACTCTTAAAACAAGACATGGAAGCTAGCAGTGTCAAGCAACTTCGGAAATTTGTGGGGAATTTAAAACATAAGCAGTACCAGATAGTGGCAGTAGAGGGTGTTCTTTCTTCAGAGGAGAAAATTGTAAGTATCTAAATATTTATTATGTGAAGCTTGGACAGGTTGGACTTCAGAGTATAAAATTTTTAGCTAACTCCTAACACCTCATTCTGTAACATTAGGTTGGCAAAGATATTTTGTATGTCATTTAATTTCTGGAATGAACATCTTTAAATTTCAAATGGTACCTAATTTTGTCAAATATTTTACTTGGAGCTTCACAAAAATATTTAATTTTATAATACATAATTTAATTTTTAATGTCAGGGGAGTAATGAAAAATGGCAACATATATGGTAAGAAAAAGCTAACTTAATCCAAGGAGTTCTAACTCATATTGGTCTCATAATTACTGTTTATTATATGTGATTCTAGTGATTCCTGAGGCTCTGTGTTAGGCACTTGGATATGTTGGATGAACTATTGGAGATATATATATCACACTATTGAGAGAGTGAAGTACTCTAATAGGACACATACACTTACTTATTGGATATATACAATTCCAGAAATTAACTTCAGTACAGTTACCTCTTTACCCCTTGCATTTAAGTGATGAGTAGTACATTATAGAAGAATTCCTAGGAATTGGAAACTCTCCACTTGTATAAACTGAAGCTATGTGGTAGCATATCAAGTCTAGAAAATACACAGTTCTCAAATCTTAAAGAAAAAAAAAATGTCCCTATTAGAGTACTTCACATTTGTTTCCCTCTAAAGAGAGAAGAGATAGAGCAGTAGAAAGGAGCATTTATGAAGAATAATAGGATCATGAGGGAAAGGACTAAAATTGTTTGAAATGAGAGATAGAGCTAGAGTAATCTTTTCAGCATCACAACTTGGGATATACAGGCAAGGACTGTTTAAGAGGTTCTTCAGTTTAATTACGATACGTTAGAGGTTTCTTTGCAATGACTTAAATACCAAAATTGCATTCATTTTTTTCACCCTATCGTTAATTTGGCTGAATAAAGTTAGAGGTTCATTTTAACTGTTACAAAATACCAAGATGCTTGTTCACCAATATACCGATAACTTTTGACATCATAGGTGGGGTTAAGATGTTATGGAAAAGCCCGAGTGAACTTTTTGGCCTACCCAATATCATGGAGGCTAGCTGCACATTTTATTTAGCTGTTAGCTTTCTGGTCTTGGAAAGTGAGACCTTGGTGGTGTTTCTCTGCTTGTAGCCCCATCTCTATCTCTCCTTCTCTCTGTTTTTACCTCTCTCTGACTTTGAGCCAGGATTTTTAATTTTGATTCATTATTCCATAAAAAAGGTGTTATTTTCTTTTTAATCCTTTGTGTTTTGTCTTTATCTGGAATTTTCTTTAATTTTTTAATGGCTTGGTTTTAAAAATGTTTTTCCTAATTTCCTAAATTTGAAGTTGTAATATTCCTTAAGGAATTTTCATTATCTTGGAAAAAATTCCAGATTTTTTGTATTATAAAATTAATACATACTTTAATTAATTGACTTCTCCCTTACTATTAATATTTTTTTAAATTTCTTTTCAAGGCCAGGAGACAAGCTTCTCAAGTCTTTACAGCCGAGAAGATCCCTTGAAGAAGTAAGCATTTCAGTGATTGTGGAATTTTACTTTATTTTTCAAATTCAGATATTAAACTTTTAATACAACATATGAATTCTCTAAATACTCCGTTTAATTTCTAAAATTCTAAATTATACCTTTAGTACTCCATTGTTTAGTAGTTATTCCAATAAAATATCTTGTTTGCATTGTGGGTTTTATATTTCTTATCCATGTTTCAGAAACTGGTTTTGTATTATATGACTATTTATTGGGTTCTTACTTGTGTTAGGTATTCGCAATATTTTGTGTGTATTAATTAATCTCCAAAATAGTTCTGTGAGACAGGTACTGTTATTAGCTTGTGAGGAAGCTGAAACTCTGAGAGATTAGTAATTTGCACAAGAAAGTGGTCATCATCCAGAGTGTGAACCCAGACTGCTCACCTCCAGGCTCTTACCATTATAGCATTTTGCTTTCTTCTGTATTATATATGTAATGAAATTCCCTCCTCACTACTTAGAAATAACCTTAATATTTAATAGGCATAGCTCTAAAAAGAGGGATTTACTTTTGTTAAATATTTACACTCATACTTATACAACGGTGATGTAGAGTGTTGTGTTTAATGTGTCCTGTAGGAAAGAAACTTTCAGATTCTGTTGGATTTGCCATGAAAGGTTGCAAGCTAGAATCCTACTCTGGCCAATTTAAGCAGGAGAGAATTCATTCAAATTATCAGAAGCTCACAGAATCCATAGGTAACTAGGGAACTCTGCTAGAACAAAGGCAACAGTAGGGGCTAGAATACGGCATAATTTACAGCAGGGTCAATCAGGTTAGGAGCAGAGGTAGAATGTCTGCTCAAATTTCAGATTCCAGAGAGGGCACATCTGATTAGCATGTGACTGTATGCCATGGGACAGAGGCAATTTCTCAAAAGGAAATCCGGGTAGATGAAGAAATGGATATTAAATAACAAAAAAGAAAAGCAATAAGTGTCTACTGCCCCATGAAAAAATGAACAAGAACTTATTTGAATGAAGTTCTATAAATATTATTTATGGCATCAAATACAGAAAGTTGCACTCCAAGAATGAATAATATGTATAGCTGATTCACTTTGTTATACAGCAGAAACTAACACACCATTGTAAAGCAATTATACTCCAATAAAGATGTTTAAAAAAAAATAGTGTGTATTAACAGCAAGAACTGACAAAACCATAACCTTCATAGTCTTAAAAAATAATATTGCCAGCTGGAAAATTCTGGAAGCTATCATTTCTAATATTCTGTCATCCAGACTGGTAAACAGGTTTCTACTCTATATCCCCATGCAGTTACGCTCCTTCATGCCATCATTATCTCTTACCTAGACAATGTAATAACCTCCTAAATGGGCTCCCTGTCTTGATCCTCTGTCAGTCCATCTTCCACACGGAATGCAAACCGTTCTAAAATACAAATGCGATTTTGTGACTTCCAGTTGAGTCCTCTTCATTGCTCATTGTTAAAATCCAAACATCCCACACAATCTGGGCCCTGCATACCTCTCCAGTTTCATCTCTCTCCACTCTCAAAGTTTCACTCCTTTCAGCCTAAAGACCTTTGCCAAAATACAGCTGGTGCTGCCTAGGGCCTTTACCCCCTTAGTTCTCCGCTTAGAAGGGCTTCCGCTTAGAAATGCTTCCTGAACTGCTCAAGTTTGGATTAAATGCGCCTTCTAAGTGTTTGATAAGCAACACGTTTCTCAAAGTATAGATTGCTGAGCTGCAAACCGCCAGTCTGTGACAAGATAATTATAGAAGTTACAATTGCTGACATACTTTTATTCTATTTTACACAGATAATAACCATGGATTAGCAGTTGTTTTTTTTTTAATTGGTTCTTCACCACAGAGTTTGACAGACACTGTCCTATGGTGTAATATTTGTATCACAATACCTGCTATTCTAATTATCTACCTTTATATGTTTCCCTCCTTGAATGTAAGCGTGAAGATTTCAGGAGCAATGTCTAGTTTTTAACAGTAGCCCCACAGTGCCTGGCACATCACATATAGAACTTAAAAATACTATTTTGGTTAATGGAAATAACTAATTTTAGAAAAGCAGTGGTAGAAGATATCAGTTTGAAGTCTTTGGATGTCCCAGCTGGCCGTCTTTGTGCAAATTGTTTTCCCTGAAATCAGATAAAACCAGTTTCTATAGGATGAAAGAAGAGTTACATTGAGACATTTCTTTAAGAAGCAACAAGCAAAAGAGTTAAAAAATTTGAATGTTCCCACAGTCTTTGAGCAGGTGGTGGAGTTACATACCCTCTCCCCACAGGGGGGGAATATATATATATAGATGTATATACATACACACAGTATTTGCATACAGTATCACAGATTGCTTAAGAACACACGCTCTAATTTAGTTATTTTCAATATTTTTGGTCTCAGTATTCCTTGATGCTCAAAAGATATTTACGTTCCCAAGGAGCTTTTGTGGGTTATGTATTTCCATGTTTGCCATATTAGAAATTCAACCTGAGACTTAAAAAAAAAGAGAAAAAAATATAGAGGCACATACTCCATTAGCTGCAGCCATCAAAACAGTAATGTAAGAAAATGTCATTTAGCCTCTGAAAAATCCATTGAGTATCTTTCTAAAAGTACATATTAATAGTTCTACATACAAAATTCCAAATTTTATATTTTCAAGGAATGGTATTTTGCACATCAATAGTT